CAGCAGACGCAACAAATGTCTCTGCGACAAATTCATGTATATGTCAAAGCCTCACATTGTGCACTGGTCCCAAAGACAGTTGAGCATCCCTGGTTGGTAGTAAATGCTACCAGCATCCTAGCAACTAATAGTGTGGTTTGTCTGAACCTGATTGGTTGCTAGGACACTAGCAGACATTAGAACTGTCCACTGAATTTGGCACAGGACATTCCTATACAACATTGCGATGATTCAGTATGGCACTTCCAACACGTTTCTGGTGTTAATGTTGCCAACGAATGCCCTGTGCCAAATTCAGAGACCGTTTTATTGTTATTACTGGCACATGCAACAAGTCTCAGGTAAGTCATGATAAGGACATTTTTGCATTATGTTGCAATGGCTGCAATCATTTCATAATGAAGTGCCACCATTACACTGACAAGGAAATGGACAGTAAATACGACCAATGTGCTATTGGAGTAATTTGTGGCTGGAGTGTCCACCACCCCACCTTGTTGGTGGTAGGTTATAGGCAGCCCCGGGGTCACTGGTGTCCTAATAACCATTGATGAGGTACACAACATCATTGGCTGTTATGATGCCAGCGGCCCGACAACCAATCGTGCTTAGCCGCACAACATCCTTCCTTCTACATTGTAGGTTGCAGGCAGCCCTGAGGTCACCTAGCAACTAATGAAGCTCAGCTAGACAGCATCTCTGAGAGCTGTGCACAGAGCAGGACTTACAACAAATTCATGGACATGTTTACATTTGTCATTTAGTGGCGCAGACACTCTATTGTGGCATATCAGGGACAGTGTTTTGTATTTTGCTATGCATATTTCTACTCTATTGACCAGGGTAATGGTGGTCGTTCTGCACCTCTTTAGGCAGGAAATATTATGGCAGTTGATGGATGTGAAGGAACATTTCAAGTGGTTTTAAGCCCTCTTGTGGAATAAAGTATCTTTTGTAAATCCAGCATGTTTCTATTTACAGTATATTTAAACCATGGCTCATCTGCCTGTATTTATCATCACACATCTCCCCCTTCCCTCACTGCTTTAGTTAGTCAGCAAGGTAGTTGCTCACATTTTTCTCTTGCACTTGAGAACCTAGGACAGAAATAAGGCTGCTATGAGACATACCGCGATTTTCCAACAAGTTTGTATACACTGCTCAAAAAAAATGAAGGGAACACTTTGAAAACACATCAGATTTAAATGGGGAAAAATATCATGCTGGATACCTATACTGTTATGAACCAGGTAATGTGTTAGGGATGTAAGGATGCCCCATTATTTGAGGGAAATAAAAATGATTAACCTACAGAAGACTGAATTCGAAGACACCCCGAAAATCAAAGTGAAAAAAATGTCATTGCAGCAACTCAAAATGGTACTCAGTAGTTTTTATGACTGCCACATGCTTGCTTGACAATGTCAGGGAATGTTCCTGATGAGACGACATCCCAGAGGTGTTCTATTGGATTTAGGTCAGGTGAGCGTGGGGGCCATTCAATCGTATCAGTTTCTTCATCCTCCAGGAACTGCCTGTATATTCTCACCACATGAGGCCGGTCATTGTCATGTACCAGGGGGAACCCAGGACCCACTGCACCAGCGTAGGCTCTGACAATGGGTCCAAGGATTTCATCCCAATACCTAATGACAGTCAGTGTGCCATTGTCCAGCCTGTAGAGGTCTGTGCGTCTCTCCATGGATATGCCTCTCCAGCCCATCACTGACCCACCACCAAAACGGTCATGCTGAACAATGTTACAGGCAGCATAATGTTCTCCATGGCTTCTCCAGACCCTTTCACATGTGATCAGAGTGAACCTACTCTCATCCGTGAAAAGTACAGGGCTCCAGTGGCAGACCTGCCAATTCTGGTGTTCAATGGCAAATGCCAATTGAACTCTATGGTGCCGGGCAGCGAGCACAGGGCCTACTAGAGGACATCGTCATGAAGTTTGTTTCTGATTGGTCAGAGACATTCACACCAGTGGCCTGCTAGAGGTAATTTTGTAGGGCTCTGGCAGTACTCATCCTGTTCTTCCTTGCACATTGGCATAGATACCGGTACTGCTGATGGGTTAAGAACCTTCTACGGCACTGTCCAGCTCTCCTAGAGTAACTGCCTGTCTCCTGGAATCTCCTGCATGCTCTTGAGACTGCGCTGGGAGACACAGCAAACCTTCTGGCAATGGCACATATTGATGTGCCGTCCTGGAGGAGTTGGACTTCCTGTGCACACGCTGTAGGGTGCAGATATCGCCTCATGCTACCAGTAGTGACATTGACCGTAGCCAAAGGCATAACTAGTGGAAAACAGTCAGAAAAGATGAGTAGGGAAAAAAAAGGTCAGTGGCCTCCACCTGTAAAACCATTCCTGTTTTGAGAGTTGTATCATTGTTGCCCATCTAGTGCACATGTTGTTAATTTCACTAACACCAAAGCAGCTGAAACTGATTAACAACCCCCTCTGGTATTTAACTGGCTAGATCAATATCCCAGGAGTTTAATGGACTTGATGCTATACTCTGATTAAAAAAGTCCCTTTAATTTTGTATGTATCGGGGTCAATTCCCTCTACAAAAAAGGCTAAATTTGCCCTTTGGTATGAAGTGGGGTTTACTAAAGCATAAAAGAACTATAAACATCCTCTACTCTGGTTAGAAATCTGTGCAAATATTTCAGTGTATTTCTGATTACCAGAAGTATCTTTACCTGGAATGCATGGTTTGAAATATTCATATACACTGCATACCAGAAAGCAGGCGGAAAGTGGTAGTGCCAACACTGAAATCATCCACTTCTAAGAAGGTTCATTGAGGAACATAGAAGTAAATTTAAGTTGAGTTTTATTATTATCCTTAAAGAAATTAACACATAAGAATTAAATTACAGAAGAAGAGCAGAGCCCCCATACTTGAAAACACTTAAGCTGATAGTTTACTTTCCTTTCAAATTTGTTCCTATTCTCCACTATAAGAAAATGTACGCACTGCACTGGAAACCGTAAAAGGTCAATATAGGAACACTCACTGTGGTTCCCAAAAAAATATCAATGGCCCTGGGGGTTAGAGGTGGGCATGCTTTGAGAAAAATGTTTTTTGCCAGGCAAAGAAATTAGTTCTCTTAAAGGATAAGTTCACCTTTGGGAACATGTAACATGTTCCCAGTGCTGCAGCCACCACTTGCCTCCCCCCTCCCACTAACAGAAGAACAGGGAGATGTCCCCCCCGTACTATCAAATTTTAAAAACAGCGTGGCCATGCAGGGCTCTGCCCACACGGTCACATCATTCATTCACGGACTTCTATGAATGAATGAACTGCAAGTTCCGACAACCTTAGCGGCTATCAGCTTGTAGTTTTCAATGACTGGGAGGGAATATTGGCATTGATGAACACAACACAGAACTGGGAATTCTTCAAAAAGACTGTATGTGAACACACTGCAAAATATATTCCCATGGGCAACAAGTTTAAAAGGCTAAAAATCAAACCCATGTGCTTACGGTCAAAGTTAAAAAGGCTATAGATAATAAGCAAAGAGCTTTTATTAAATATAAAAATAAAGGAACACTATCATCGTTTAAACATCACAAAGAATATAACAGAATATACAAAAAGGAAATAAAGGCCGCAAAAATTGAGCACGAATGACAGATTGAAGAATTTTTGGGGTTTGTCGTGCTATCTTTTGCAAATATATTAATAGTAAAAAGGTCCGGTCCAAGCATGTAGGCCCTTTACAAAATAATCTAGAGTGGGTGACTGGGGACAAAGAAGAGAAATTTATGTAATGCCTTCTTCAGCTCTGTGTATACAAAGGGGCATGGGGGAGCTCTTGTCCGTAATGGGCATGGTATTGACACAGCTCCAGATGATCCACATTTGATATGATCCAGAAATATTTAGACAGAATAAAGGTGAATAAAGCATCTGGACTGAATGGCATACACCCACGGGTCCTTAAAGAATTGAGCTCTGTCATTTCAAACCATTGTTTGAAAATTTTTAGGGACTCTTTAATGACTGGCATAGTACCACTGGATTGGCATAAGGCCAATGTGGTGCCAATATTTACCAAGTAATTACAGACCTGATAGTTTATTAAGCTCTCCAGTATATTCCCAACTATAGAAGTTAAAGGGCCACATAGATGAGTTCTTGCTGGATAAAAAATATAAGCAACAGACAGCATGGATTTATGAAAGACAGAAGTTGTCAAACAAATCTGATTTCTTTTTATGAGGAGGTGAGCAAAACCTTGGACAGAGGGGTGGCGGTGGACGTGGTATACTTGGATTTTGCAAAAGCGTTTGACACAGTTTCCCCACACACGGCTAATGTGTAAGGTAAAGTCTACAGGCTTGGAAAAATCCGTATGTAAATGGGTAGAAAACTGGCTAAAAGAACGCATTTAGACAGTAGTGGTTAATTATTCATACTCTGATCGGTCTGGGGTTGTCAGTGGTGTACTCCAAGGTTCAGTGTTGGGACCCTTACATTTAATATATTTATAAATATAGGGTCTTGAATTACAAATTCCATTTCAGTCTTTACAGATGACACCAAGCTGTGCAGTGGAATAACGTCCTTACAGGATGTCTCCAACTTACAAGCCGACCTCAATGCTCTGTTTAATTGGGCAACTATGTGGCAAATGAGGTTTAATGTTGATAAATGTAAGGTTATGCACTTGGGGGCTAAGAATATGCATGCATCATACATACAACTGGGGGGAATCAATGGTGGAGGAGGATCTGGGGGTTCTGGTAGATCAAAAGCTTAATAATGGCATGCAATGCCAAGCTGCGGTTTCTAAAGCGAGCAAAATCCTCTCTTGTATTAACCATGTCCCGCCCGCCATATAGTAATATGACGGACGCAAGGTGGTTCTCTCGTTCTGGGAGGACGTCATATAGTAATATGACGGACGTCTCTCGTTCTTCTGGAGGACATATGCTCGGCTCCCGGAATGCGGCAATCGGCGGTGCGCTGTCTCCCTCGGACACAGCGGATCACTGATCCATGGAAAGAGCCGAAGATGTCGGTTCGGTCATGTGATTAGCTGTGTCCAATCACAGCTGATCACATGTAAAACGGAAATGCCGGTTATCAGCATTTCTCTCCCCACAAGCTGTCATGCTGACAGCTTGTGAGGCGAGCCGGTAATCGGCATTCCTCGGAGGAGACATGTACACAGATCATCAGGGCACTCAGTGTGCCCTGATGATCTGTGTAGCCCCAGCAGTGCCACCTGTCAGTGTCCATCAGTGCCAGCTCTCAGTGCTCATCCATGCCACATTTTAGTGCCCATCAGTGCCACATATCAGTGCCCATCTGAGCTGCCTTTCAGTGTCACCCATCAGTGCCAGTCAGTGCCACCCATCAGTGCCAGTGCCACCTATCAGTGCTGCCAATCAGTGTGCATCAGTGCCACATATCAGTGCCTGTCAGTGCCGCCTAACAGTGCCAGTCAGTGCCACTTATCAGTGCCATATATGAGTGCTGCCTTTCAGTGCCCATCGGTGATGCCTGTCAATGCCACCTACCAGTGCCCATCAGTGCCACCTATCAGTGTCCATCAGTGCAGCCTCATTAGCGCACATCAGTGAAGGAGAAAAATCACTTATTTACAAAATGTTTATAACAAAAACTAAGAAAAAAACGTTTTTTTTTTTTTTCAAAATTTAGTGGTATTCAATGACCTCTGGGTTTATTTTTTCTTAAACCAAAAACCACCAAAATAAAGCTCTGTCACATAAAAATGATAAAAATTTCCTATGGGTACAGTCAGGGGCGGACTGACCATTTGGAAACTCGGGCACAGACTTATCAGACTGAATACATTTGACTTGAAAACATTTACCAAAATGTTCTTGCATAACATTATATTTACTGCAAAAAAAAAAAAAAAAAAAAAAATGTATAGCCTGAAGCTGGGTGCAAGCTATGCCCTCAACAGTCAACTCCTGTATTCAGGAAATAAATTCCATCCTACCCTAGATAAGCCCATCTAAAAATAATAAAATCTAGGATCATTGGCTACAAACTCCAGCCACTTGTGGGTGACCCTAGCTCAGAGCAAAGTCTTTAAAGGCTTACCTGTAGGTAAAACAAAGTGGTAGCAAACTCATTTTTGTTATTTTTACCTACAGGTACATTTACAACAAAGCTTACCTGTAGGAAAAAGAAACGTTCCCTAAACTGTGCACATTTAGGATTCAAATGAGCAGCAGCCGGTGATGTCACTGGTGCATGTACTTTGAATGAACGGCCTACCTGTTCTGCTCCTTCAGTGCTCTGTGCTGTGCCCAGGGCTCCAGCATGCATGCACGAGGGTGACATCTTCATGGCTTGGTCAGTCAGAAGGCTGGAACCCACAAACCCAGAAGGCAGATTGGGTGAAGGCGGAAGCCCTGTCAGCGGTGATAGTGTGCAGCTAGAGGGCATTGTTATATGGATCTCCCTCTGAAAGATACATTATGTCAGACTGGACATTTGTATATGTTGTTGTATGCTGGTCCCTAGACATCCATTGTAATGTCACACAATCTGTTCTGCTTTTTATGCTTTGGACCATGTATTTTGCAATGACCCATACCTAAGCTGCAATAAAGAATACGTTTTTTCAACTTTAGAAAAGATGGCTAAAAAGACCATTGGTGTCAGTGGGAAACAAAAATTGTTTCTTGCTCAAGAAACCGCTAGTAACCTGGTTGAGAAATGCTGAGGGACCTCAAATGCCTTTCTTGTTTGAAGCTGTCGTCTGTAGCAACACATTACATACATTTTAACATTTTGTGATCTCCAGTTAACTAATCCTTTATTGCTTTTTGAAGTCGGCATATTCAGAGCCTGTGTAAATGGCATCAGTTTGATATAAGTTTGAGATGCTTTTGATTTTGTTCAGAAGTCAAGGATTGGTGCTGTTTAAGTGGGTTTTGCATTCCCGCAGATGGGTATGGATCTGTCAAACCCTCTTTTTTGATTAAGGGTCTATGGTGATAGGCTATTTTTCAATCAAGTATGTGAAGCAGATTCCTTGCTTATTCTTACTTCTGACTGGCAGTTATACATGCAGATATACAGAATGTAAATGATGTCGTGTTTAAAAAGGCCTGGATATGTGATGACAGCTCTCAGAACGCAGGGAAAGAAAATTACCATTTGCTAATAAGTCCAATACCAACATTGTTACAAATCCTAAAATAACCATACTCACACGGTTACCTGATCTGTGGACCCAATATGTACAAGGGTGACCCTGCTGTCCAAGAAAAGAAGGAATTAAACACATCCTGATCACTAGTGTTCTTAACTGAGGTGCTAGCACTTTCTGCACACTCACGTTTCTCTTATCCATCGAAACAAACGTCTTCAGTATGCAGCACAGCACTGACCTTTATGGAGCACTCTGTGATGCTGTGAAGACTTTTTTTAACCTGACTTCATCAGATGTCTGCACGTTACAGCCCCTCAAAGTCAATGCAATGGTGATGAAAGAACTAGGAACAACATTTGCCTGTGATATTAAAAGCAAAAATAAGTCCCAAAACACACACACACACACACACACCTCTAAATGCAGAATATCTCAATGAAAATCAAAAAAGGTACAGTTGAGGTTGTAATTGCAATATTGTTTTATTTTTTGCTTCATAGGCCTTATTCATAATAGACAAGATCTATCCTCATGTGTCAGTGAAAATACACATCCTTACAATAAAGAGAATATAAAAAAAAGAAGGCTCTTTTAACATTACCATATTATGTTTATTTTATAAATGCTCCCCAATGCTTTTGCACCTCTGCCCCTGTATTGACTATCCAAATCAAATTCATTGCCTGCAAGCTAAGTAAGTGGACAGCCATTTTGCTGGTGGGTTTCCAGAGTAGCACAGGGATTGTTGAAGGCCAGAAAGAGAATATAATCAGGTTACCTACCTGATTTCGCACCCAAACACCCCTCTCCTAAAATCATACAGAACATCTACTTGTTACTGATCCTATTGTGGTTTAGAATGTTGTGCTTATGTTTGTACAAGATGACCATTTCTACTTATGATAGGAAAACCGGTATTTGCTGCCCATAGGCACAGTCTGGACTACTTTAAATCCAGCCCTGGTTCTTGCAAAAAAAAAACCCCCCAAAAAACTGTATTTAGTAAATTGATGCAAGGGGTAAGAATGCAGACATATAACTGTCTGTAAAGGGTTTAGAGCGCTTCAACTAAAATATGTGCCCAGAGCTCACACAATACTACCAAAAAGGGGCCAGTTGAGGGGTATTTGTATTGCTTCTTTAGTAGGATTTTCCAAATAAATGTACCAAATGGGTTGTACGCAGAACGTTAAAAGGCTTTACAGTGTCATCAAATACCCTCAGTATAACAATGGAGAATTACCGCAATCAAATAAAGTAAGCTCTGGAAGTAAGAAGCGTGCATCGCCTTACTACAACAACAGCCAAGTAAAAACATATAGGAACGCATAGGTGTAAGTTATTAGCCAAGTAACAGATCAATCAAACAAGAAAAAACAAAATGGTATACCATTGGACCTCAAAAGTTAAAAAGTTCCATCAACAAATAATCAGGATATAAAGGACATAAGAGGTGGCCTGCTAAATGTCTGGCGAAATGTTCAGCAAAATTCTGACTCATCCCATATTTTAGAGAATCTGAGCACTGAACCTTCCACCATCGCTGTAAGATATTCCATCCTGTTGATCTCAGCTATGATTGACAGGAGTTGTGAATATGTGTGGGGGGGAGAGACTGAGAGCCAGCAGGATGGTATAGCTCATTTGGCTGCTAATACAAAGGACATAAATCTCCTGGCAGGTTTAGCAATACCCGGATAGGGTAAATTCAACAGGTAATACATAGGATCTAAAGGAAGCACCAAATTCAATAAACTTTGCAAAAAACACTGAACATAGACCCAAAAAGGTTTGATAAGAGGACATTCGAAGAAAATATGGAAATGGGTACCTATAGTGTTATGACATCTCCAGTTTCTGGAAACCTCTGGATTGCAGGCATGTAAAAGATCAGGAGTTTTATGCCAAAACATAAGAATTTTCTAGGCAGTCTCTCTCTCTGCGCCACACCGGGACAACTTGGAAGTGACTTCCCAAATCTTAATCCATTGTGGAATGGTGATAGTTTGGTTTAAAATATGTGCTTATTTGCTCAAGAATGACTATCTTCAAATATGGATGCAACTTCATGTAAAATCTTGCAGAAATCAGATGCAGTTCATAAGGACCTCTAAACACAAAAAAGTTCCAAAGTAATGGGCTTATCAAGAGATAAAGATGAGGCTCTAGTAGAAAAACATTTTTAATTTTAAGATATGAATAGAAAAGTCTTTTAGGAATAGGATATTTACATTGAAGGTCAGCAAAAGACAAAAGATCTTTTACATTGAAGGTCAGCAAAAGATTGTGTAATATAGTGATATCATTATCATATTCTTTTTGGCCTAATAGGTCTGTTACCATTTTGTGAAACTTAACCACTTCCCGACCGGCCGTTGCATATAAACGGCCGGACGGTGGCACTGCAGGGTCGGGTGGCCGTTTATAAACGGCCCTCCCTGCTTGTGCGCGCTCCCTGGGAGCGCGCAGCACCGCGATCCTGTGCCAGCTGTGTCCTCCGGACACAGTGAAACACCGATCGGACGGGACCTCTATACAAGGTCCCGATCATGTGATCACTGATTGGCCAATCAGTGATCACATGCAAAGTAGTAAGCAAGATGTCACTTGTGACATCATTGCTCACTACGTGTGAAATCTGTGAATGATCACAGAGGTCACATGGTACAAGGCTATTCACAACAGCCTTGTACCATGTAACAAGCTGTGACCAATCACAGCTCACTCAGTACTTCTCAATGAGTGCAAGAATGCAGACAGAAAGGGAAATGATTGCTTTTGTCACCATGGTGACACTGTATTGCTAGGGTGACAGTATGTAAAAAAAATAAAAAATAAATAAAAAATATAAATAAAAAAAATTAAAAAAAAGTGTTTAAAAATAATTTTTTGTTAAAACTAATTTGGATTTTTTTTTTTACTAAAAAGATAACGGAATACATTTTGGCCAAGATTTATGATGAAATATTTATTTGCAAACGTTTATAAAAAAAAAAAAAACACTTTTTTTCAAAATTTTTGGACTTTTTCATTTACATAGCAAAAAAAAATAAAAATCCCAGCGGTGAATAAATACCACCAAAATAAAGCTTTATCTGTCTCAAAAAAAATGTTAAAAAATTCATTTGGGTACAGTGTTGCATGACCGCGCAATTGTCATTCAAAGTGTGATAGCGCTGAAAGCTGAAAATTGCCCTGGTCAGGAAGGGGGTAAAATTGTCCGGTCTGGAAGTGGTTAATAAAGCTGTTGGTTTTATTTACACTGCTGCTGGTTCTCTTTTACCCTCCTGGCAGTATTCCCGCTTGTAGCTCGGTGTTAACTTTCAGTACCAAAAGCTGTAA